GATATGCAAATTTTTTTTTTGCAATTTATAGTACTTTTCGTATAGTTTTTGAATATCTAAATTTTTTGTTTAAAATATCGAATTAATGTAATCTAATTTAACTTTAAAAATTAGTCAAATTGACTTTTGAAAAGCGCAACATGACAAATAAAAGTGAACGAGAGACTAGTTATTTTTTTGTCAAAAGAATCTTCCATTCAAAACAATATCGCTATGAAAAAAATATTCTAAAATATTTGTACGTAATCAAAATAGTGAGTGAAATAAAGATGAAGTGTATTGGCGAGTAGAAAGAAGAAAATCTATGTAAAATGTCATTTGCTGAAGAATTTGTTTTTTTACTTCCACTGACAAAATTATTTTTCTCAATTAACAGTAACTTGATTTATTTTAAAAATAAATTCAGAAAAATTTAACGAACCAAATATAAAAAAATTAAAAAATATTTTCCTCCGTAAAATGAACAGAACAGTAGGGCAACCTGCGATCTTTTTTTCTTTTTTCGAAAAGGCATTTTTAAATTTTCATGTGGATCTTCAAAGCAGTATATATATATGTTGATCGTAGAAAGCTTATGATTGATTATGAGTTTAATTTAATTTTACTTTACAAGCAAAGTGACAATTATTATAATGACAACCTAGAAAAGGAACAGTACCAACATGTGGACCAATGTTCAATTTTGATCATGACATGCACTTTTGAATTACGTGTTTATTTATAACTAGCTACTCCATAAGCCTATACTACGTGTTTCTTTTATTTCTTCTTTTGTTTTATTTACTTTTTAAGATTTTTAATAATATTATTGGATTAAAACAATTTAATTAATATGGCGTGATATTATTTACTTTAAATTAAACTTATTCATTTGTTTTAAAATAGGAGTTCTCATATCGATAAATTACGCAAAAAATAGTTATGATTGAATTATACAATATGAGATTATTTTTTATTGGATATTTAGTTTGATGTATTACATGTAGTATATAAGGTATAATTTAAAACTATTTTTGAGGATTAGTTTGATCATTTTATAAATTTTAATCCACATATTATTTAAGGAAATATTATGGAACTAATCAAAACTAGCAACTTATTTATGGAAAATAGCTATAGTTTAAAAATATTATTTAAAAAAAACAATATATTATTTTTAACCAAATGCATATTAGATATATTGTGTTTATAAAAAAGAGCAATATATCTAATATGTATTTGGTTAATGACAAACTTGATACATTGTTAATTAAATCAATACCCTTTAAATTATGTGGAATTAAACAAAAAACTGGAAAATATAATGGTAAAAAATGTCTTTAAACTATGTGAAATTAAACAAAAAATCATCCGTCAATAGTTTGATTCAAAAATACTTGAACAATCAATACTTTGATCTAATAATGCCCTTGGTGTCAATTTTTATCCATAAATGTTTCTATTGTTACTTTTGGGTAGATTGCTTATACTTTGTAATCTGATTACACACAAATTATCTCTCGTTCCATAGATGTGACTGTGCATTAGTGTTTAGTGCAAATGAACTTCAACAGTGTAATAAAAGTGTAAAATTAATATACTTACAATACAAATACAAAATCCATAAATGCAATTTTTGACTTTATAGCGAATGGTTTTGGTTGATTGTGCCTCAAACGAAACAGTATCACGTGACACTCCTTAACCTAACAAAGGGTAAAAAAACAAACAAAAGCCATAACAATGACAAAACCAACACATATATTTGAAAAAAACTAGAGTATTATTCAATAGGAAACCAACAAGTTCACCATATCAACACCAGCCATTAGGCCATCTATTCTTGGGGTCTAATCTTTTAAATACTTTCTTTTTCTTCGAACTACTACCTAGAGATGAGCTCGAGCAAGAAGATGATGGTCGTACTATATTCAACTTATGTCGTGGTCGCCATATTAGCTTCCAAAACTTACCGTTGGATGCAGGGGACTCGTATTTCGAGGCCTCAGCATTCAACATGTTTAAAAAGTTGTCATTTTCCAGCTCCAAAAAAACTTCATCTCTAGTCCTTATAGTATTCAGCCTAACGTACCTTTGCTCAAGAGACTCTTTAGGTACATTTCTTGCTAATAAAGGAGAAGCACCACCCCAATTATTTCTACCTAAAGATGGATGTTGAGGTGTCCTAAACTCTTGTAAATCCCTTTGCCTCATCTCTAATTCACTTTTCAATCTCTTAATTACCTCTTTTTATGTTTACATAATCACTCTTGTTAACATATCATGTATCCAAATTTGATGTCACTCTAATTAACCTCAGTCCAAAAATCTTTTCTTGTGCTTTAAAAAATGGATTTTTTCCAAGATCCAGCTCATATGATTGGTTATAGTAGTAACCCTTTAACTTATTCTAGCCTAATAATGGAGGCAAGAACATAGCCGGGTAGGATCAAGGGGTTCATTTGAAACTCCCTCAATAGAAAATTATACTATTTATATTTGATTAAAATTATGTTTTATATATATATGTTGAACCCCTTTGACTTCTTCGCGTGTTTACTTTTTTATATTTTGAACCTTTATTAAAAATTCCGACTCAGCAACTGAATGGGGTGTATATGGTCATATTCAATCTACTTTGGCACCAAATGGATTTAATTAAGATGGGAAATGTGGGTGAAAAACTCAAGAAAAACCTTGTTAAAACAATGCAAGACAGAAACTTAGATTCTGCAAAATGACAACCAATTGGAACTTCCTAACAAAGCTGTGTACCTAGAAAGATGCTTTCTTTTAACTAGAATCATGATATTTTATAAATGTAGATGAGAACATTGATAATTTATTAAAGGATCTTATTATATTTACTATATCTTTAATTTTGCACATTTTTCTATAAGCTATTGTCAAGGAAAATAGCAAAAATGTCATACATAACTCAGCAAGAAATGACTCTAGGCTAATCGATATACAAGGACTACCAATGAAGCTTAAGGAGGGGAAGATATAACCTTTTCACTACGGATTCATTTGAACTCATAACTTTCGATACGAAGTATAAATATCAAGGTAAACACATGGTAAAATACACGAGGAGTACCGACGAAGCTCAAGGAGGGGCAAATATAACCTTTTGACCACGGGTTCATTTGAACTCATAACTTTCAACACAAAGTATAAAATATAAAGGTAAAATACACAAGGAGTACCGACGAAGCTCAAGGAGGGGTAGATATATTCCTTTAACTACTGGTTCATCTGAACTCATAACTTTCGACATAGAGTATAAATATAGAGGTAAAAACATACTAAAATGTCAAGAAATATTACATTTGAACCCATAATTTAACAGTATAATAAGTACTACAATAATAAAATTATCAAAAGTTGAACGCATTAAATATAAATCTGGAATGTACCTCTGACCTGAGGACTCTAACAAGAACTTTAATTTAGGTTCAAATCTTACAAAATTAATAGTACTCATTAGTCTTACTTTGCTAGCAAACTTAAGTCTAGTTAATTGATAATTCAACTGTACCAAACACAACTTCTACATCCAATGTTGCACTGTGGATCAATGTATTGAATTATCAATCTAATTAAACAAACCCCGTTGATCAGTTCCAATTGTGACGCAAATACAGTATCAAGTCATGATATGTAAACTAAAGGGAGAAATTAAACAAGGCTTTACCATAAGAGAAGATCCCTACTAAATGCCAATTTTCATAAATCCATTCTAGAGGTTCTTCTGGAATTAGCTATTTCAGGATTGTTATCCCAACTTCAATGTGGGATAAAAATAACACGACAATCTCAAAATAATTAATTTCGAAATAAGTATCCCAATCAAACATGGAATGAATTCATTATAAAATTAATTTCGAGACTAGTTATTCTTTATCCCTAGCACCTATTGAGCCCTAAGACTTACAATTCTTCCGTCCATCGATTGATCACATGAGTACGTATCTAGTCAACGCATAGTGAATGGAAAAAACATTCATCCTAAATTTTAGGGGTGTGCATCGATCGGTTCGGTTCGATTTATCGGTTTTCGGGTTATCGATTTTTGTCATTATCGATTTACCCAATAAGAAAATCTCCATAAAATATGTATATGACTTCTCACTTCTCTAAATGCTTTGATATAGTGAAACAAGAAAGATAATGAGAAATTGCATCAATAAGAGAAAATATAGTACAAAGGCTATAATTACATATCACCGCCAAAACATAGTTTGAAATTTCTGATGTTAATCAAATTACAGACCTTTACAAACTTGCAAAAGCTACAACCTACCATTACAAACGAAAACTAAAATCAAATAACTACAATTGCTAACCCTTACTTTAGTCTTTAGGTTTTGAGTAAATAGTAGAGACTAGTATAGCGGCCTAGTGTGAAGTGGCAGAGTACTACTAATTTGATGTAATTAGCGGCCTAGTGTGAAGTGGCAGAGTACTACTAATTTGATGTAATTATAATGTCTAGTTATATATTAAATTATTAATATTTAAAATTTAGGAATGGTAAAGTAGTAAATTAATACAATCTTATTGGGTTATCGGTTTACCCAATAACCCAATAGTAAGAACCAAAATCGAGCCAATAACCCAATAACTTTTTTTATGAACTCATTAAAAACCAAATTACCCAATAACAATAACTCAATAACATTTTTTCGGTTCGATTTTTGCACACTCCTACCGAATTCTCTTCCTCAAAAAAACATGTTTGTCAATTGATTCCTACTGTCAAAGTCTCCACTTTTCATGTCCCTCTAATAAGAGATGCACCATGTTGATAGGAATTGACAAAGACTTCTGGTATACGTCTTCGAAGGCAACATTCATAACATTCATCACTACTTTCTTCCGAGGGTATGGTAATACTTTGTTCTTGGTCCTATTTGATAGATGTCACCCTAAACTAGTCTTCTATTACCAGGGACATTTTTGACCTTTTACCCGAGTGAAAAAAAAAGGAAAAACATCTTCTTTATTAAAAATGAAGCGATGAGGGATTGAACAACTTTGGACCCAAGGGTTTTGCAGGGTTTAACAGAACCAAAATACTACTAGCTAGGTTCCAATCTTGAAAGATCACCATGAGAAAAGTTTCATCTTTTGCTGTTCCACATCTCCAGGAGTACACCAAAACTTCATTCTCTCTCATTTCTAAAGACTTCATCTCCCACTTTTCTTCTCTCCCCAGTACCAGCACCAACCCCATCAATGGAAATCAACCAATTTCCCCTCAATCATCAAATACCCATCTCAAATCTTGCAGCAAGACTCAATCTTTACACTTCTCCAATGTCAAAACCCAACAATTCCAAACTTTCAACACACTTGTGGAGCAAAACCCATCTCAGTTATCCTCAAGACAGAGAAAGATTTATGAAAGATCACAACTTGAAGAGGCTTTTGAGTCAGCAAAGACTATTCAAGAAATGATTCAGGTTTTTCAAGAAATGGAGGTAAGTTTTGATGAGAGGGAACTTGGTTTGCCATGTTTAAGAATAGGTCTCAAACTTGACCAAGAAGGTGAGGATCCTGAAAAGGCTCTGTCTTTTGCTAAAAGGGCTTTGAATATATTGGATAGAGATGATAAATTGTCTTTGCCTCTTGCTATGACTTTGCAATTGTTGGGTTCTACTTGTTATAGTTTGAAAAGATTTAATGATAGTTTGGGGTATCTTAATAGGGCTAATAGGGTTCTGGATAAATTAGTTAAGGATGGTTCTTGTAGTGATGAGGATGTTAGGCCTATTCTTCATGCTGTTCAGCTTGAATTGTGTAATACGAAAACGGCTATGGGGAGGAGAGAAGAGGCCCTGGCTAATCTTAGGAAGTCTTTGGAGTTGAAAGAGATGACTCTGGAAAGAGATAGTAAAGAACTTGGAAAAGCTAATAGGGATGTCGCGGAGGCTTATGTTGCCATATTGCATTTTAAAGAGGCTCTACCATTTTGTTTGAAGGCCTTGGACATACACAAGGCACAACTAGGGCAAAACTCTGTAGAGGTTGCACATGATAGGAGGCTTCTAGGGGTTATTTATACTGGATTAGAAGAACATGAGAAGGCATTGGAACAAAATCAATTATCACAGAAAGTCTTGAAGAACTGGGGTCTTGACACTGATTTGCTTCGTGCTGAGATCGATGCAGCCAACATGCAAATAGCCTTGGGGAGATATGATGAGGCCATAAATACTTTGAAGGTTGTTGTTCAGCAGACTGGAAGAGAGAGTGAGGATAGAGCTATGGTCTTTATCTCCATGGCAAAAGCATTATGCAATCAGGAGAAGTTCACGGATGCCGAGAAGTGCCTTGAAATTGCATCTGGAATCCTAGGAAAGAAAGAAAAAACCTCCCCTGTTGAAGTTGCTGAGGCATACATGGAAATTTCTATGCTGTATGAGACAATGGATAAGTTTGAAGCTGCTATATCACTATTAAAGAGAACACTGGCAATGCTTGAAAAGCTACCTCAGGAACAACATTCAGTTGGAAGTGTTTCAGCACGAGTTGGCTGGCTACTTCTCTTAACTGGTGGAGTGCAGCATGCTATTCCTTTCTTGGAGGATGCAGCGGAGAGGCTGAAAGAAAGTTTTGGATCAAAACACTATGCAGTTGGTTATGTATACAATAATTTGGGTGCAGCATATTTGGAATTAGATAGACCACAATCTGCTGCCCAGGTTTTTGCATATGCCAAGGATATCATGGATGTTTCTCTTGGTCCTCATCATACAGATACAATTGAAGCATGCCAAAACCTTTCAAAAGCATATGCTGCCATCGGGAGGTAAGAAATTCAATCTTTTCTTTTAAGTTATATTGGCATTTATTAGTGTGCATTTTTCTCTTTGAATGCATGTACCTTTACCAAGTACACCGCATGAGCGATTGAAATATGTGTTATATGAATCCTTCATTTGTATTTGATGTACCGGTTAAAATGGGCCTGCAGGGCAGGTATAGGAACTTCATGCCAAATATAATAAAAATTAGCACAAACTGCACGTATTCATGCCCAATACTTGCACACCCCTGTATCATCGTCATGTATGTTTAAATGTATCCATGCAACATTTATTGAATTAAGAAGTTTAACTTTTTAAGTTGATTCTTGAGATTACCTTTCTGCCGTTCTTATTTCGTCTTGCCTCTTGAATTTGTTGATCTGTATCTTATCTGGTTAATTTTTGTTTCCATGCGTTCCACATATAAATCTTATTAGTATGTCAAGGGAATAGGTACTCCTCTTAGTTGCCTTCAGTATCTGTGGTTTATCTGACATGTTATTTCATATGCCAAGCTTCTGCATGCTCTGTATGTTCCCTTGTGCTCTCACACATTTGTCGAAAATTAGTGTTCTAGTTATATAAATGTACTATGGTCCGGGTGGATGCACTGCCTCATATTCTGTCACGTTGGAAGTATATCGATACCAACTTTTGGAGTCTCTCTTTTCTTCGTAGAGATTAGTGGTCTGCTGCTATGCTGTGATAGTGACAGAACAACTTACTACCAATAGATTTGATCAATTATCTATATGAATTATTCATGGTTGGTATGAATTCCTAATATTTTATTAGATGGAGATATGTAAAGGAGGATGATAGATGGAAACAACACCAAAGCTTGTACTTATCCATCTTTGCAAGTGACTTGACACAATTGAAATATTGAGAAGCTTTAATTGCAACTATTAGCTGTTAGAGTTTGATTCACAATATCAACCATCGTAGATCTAACAAACTAATAAAGTTTATCTACCTAAGTAGACAACTTCATATTCGTAGATTTGCAACCAAGGGTGTAGCTTAGTGGTCGAAGAAGTTGGAATAAAAATCAACGGAGATAAGGGTTCAAATCCGAACAGAGGTCAAAAGAATCAGGTGATTTCTTACCATGTGCTTAGATCTTGGTGGATAGAGTTTCCAGTAGCTATATGTAATACCCGAATGGAATAGTCAAGGTATGGAAGTTGGTCCGGACACTACCGGTATCAAAATAGAAGACATATGTAGCTTAGTGGTGAATAATTTGAATTAGTTGATTAGGCCAAGGATTTAAACTCACCAATAACATTTGAGGCAGAGGAGATGTTTTTTCTTTTTTCTTTTTTTTCTGATAAGTAAAAGGTCATTCACAAAAATAGCACCAAGAGAGTGCTGGGAACTGTACATGATGTATGACTTAGTCTTCTATTCAAAATACAAGGAGTCTTAAAGTAAAATGGAGTGTCAATAGATTAAAAGCTCTGTCAACATGATGTACATCTTTCATTTTACACCAACAAAGAAGAAGATTTGAGACAGATAAATATTATACAATGAATTTCAGTAATCCTTTGAATAATCTGGAACTTCTTTCCTTCCTTATTGTCCATATAATGCACAGGGGTATGCTGTTTCATATTGTCTTCAGTTGCTTTGCAGTACTCTTCCTCTCCAGGAATTGATTACATCCTTTACTTTGCTGGTATCATCCATCTAACTCCCAACATCCTTGTAAGCATTTTCCATAGATGGGCATAGTGACAGTGAAGAAATAGGTGTTCCCAGTTTTCTTCTGCACTATTACACAGGTAGCCTCTACAACAATGATATGTATCCCCTCCACGACTTTTTCTTTAGGGTGAAGCAGGCTTTGTGCACCTATCCATGTGGAGCACATTTCTTCTTTTAGGGGTGTCTTGTTCTTCCACAACCTTTCAGGGCTAGTTGCTTCCTCTGCCACTTGTAACAGCAGGTTATAGCAAGAGTTAACCGATGATGAGCTACTCTTACTTGCTTTCCATGTAAGTGAATCTAGTGAACCTAGGCTTGGGGCATTCTCCAGAGGGTGTTGGCATGTTGGGCCACTCTTTTTATTTCCAGATTCTGATTATTTCATTCAGGATTATAGTTCACCTGTCATTTAATCGTCAGCCTTCAGTAGAATTTTTTGCTCCATGGCAATGCAATACTGGTCAGGAATGGTTCCTTGATGGAATTTTTCTAACCATGTTCTCTCCACATCTGATCTTCTTTTCATTAGAAATCTTCAGTTTACCAGTGTTTGAAATTCATGCCATAAGCTCCTTATGCTCTTTCAAAGAGCAAAGTGATATGTTAGGGTTATTGCCCTGGTACACCAAGGGCCGTGCATCCCATATTTTGCACCGAGTACCTTTCTCCAGAGGGCTTCTTCTCTACTGAATCTTCTTAACTGTTTGAACAACATGTATTTGTTCCGTAGACTCTAGTTTTTTTTTAAAATTACTTCTAAGGTCCCCTCTCTTGTGGTTGCTGTTACAATAGATAGTTTCACCGAGTGGATGCTCCTTATTCTGTTCAATGTTTCTGACCATATGCAGACATAGGGAACATGGACACTATAAATGTATGAATGCTATCCAAGATAATATTAGGACTAGCATGATTGCTATGGATACATATTATTTCTTTAATATTGAAAGTCCCTTTTAAAACTTTTCAATCACACCTTGCATATGAGGTTCCACCTGATATTTTCCTCCCAAAGGAAAGTCCAAGCATACTTTTGGTATTTCTTCTACCCTAGAACCCAAAGTGTGCTAATTCCTGTTTGTTTCTTAACCCGTTCGTTTTAAACAAAGAACTCTTTCTAACATTTATATGTAGCCCAAATCCTCAAATGAAATCAAAATGACCCTTAAGTGTTGTAACTTTTTCACTTCTCCACCATAGATAGTAATAGCATTAGCAGCATAAACTAAAGAACCTCTGGTTTTAGTCTTTTAGGGAACTCCTATTTTGCCTAACCAATCCTGTACTAGTATTGGAATGAAATAATTCTGATTAAACCGGAATGGACACATGATTATTTACTGATTGATCTTAGGACAATAGACTAACATCAAGCGGAGTTATTTATATTTGTATACTACATAAAGGATACCCATGTATTGGTTAGATAAACAAACTATGTTATATAAGTTACTTTGATTGAAGAAAGATGTTATGCATGTAAATGCCTTTTTGATTTTCCCTACATTTGGATTTCTCTTTTTTGTCAATAGAGGTCTATACGCCTGAAAAGGAAAAATAAACTTAAGAAAATGGGAAATTCAAACAAAACCTTTTCTGTCCAGGAAGTTTGATCAGTGGAGGAAGTTTATTCAAAATTATTCCTTGAATATTATTTAATGATGTCCAACATCTAATTGGTGTTGATAGGTTGCACCAATCATTCCCACCTCTGTTTTGAGCTTTTCCTACTGGTATTAAGGTAGACGTATTTCCATCTGTAGTGAATTGGCATTAAGACTTTAATAATTTAATTGGAGTCAACCATCCCACTCAATACCGTTTAGGGTCACTGGGGTCCTCCTTGCGCTAAATTTAATTGCAACTTGTTACTGAATTATAACACAAAAGCATCTTACTTTATTCCTTCGCTTTGTCGTACATTAGATTATTAGTTTGTGCAAGGATTGCAGCTGTTCAATCACCACTTGAAGTTTAAACATCAAGTTACTTCTGTTTTTTAATTTTCTTGAGTTAGATAATGGCTTTAAGGGGCCTCTATCACTATGCACCCATAAACAACTTTGGATGACATATTGATAGACAGATTCTGATATTGACTTTCTTTGTACTATTGTTTTATAACTAATTCAAATTGGCTAGATTCATATAATTCTTAGTTGTCATTCTTCTCCGTGCTTTCTGTTATTGCATCTGTCTTAGACTCTTAGGTGGAAACTTGATGTGCGACATAGCGTACTCTCTGTACACCTCTAAATTTGAGGATAAGATTAATTGTCATCATAATGTTTTCACAGACTGTCATTTAAAAAATATAAAATTGTCACAAGCAAATAGACAATCTGGAGAAGGCTCTATGAAAATGCAATATGAGAATCCTGTAAAAATGGGTACAGTGATTTATTCACGCAACTTCAGGAGTGTCAGAACCAATTATGCTTCCAGAGGTTCAGTTGTTGTAACATATGCTTCCATATTCAACCACATAATTACCTAAACCTGCATATGTTATCCTAAAACCTTAGTTATGGAAACCATATTTGTTGAGAACTAAGCGTAAATGACTGTTGCAAGTGAGTTTCGTTATTTATACCTTTATTAAGCTCCTAAAGAGGCTTGCAACTCGAAATTCTTTATCATTAGAAAAGGACAATTGAACGGTTTGTTACAATTTTATGATGTTCTTAGTTGAGCGTTAAAAATATGTCTAACCTTTTATTTTGGATTTTTCAGCTATCAGCTTGCTATAAACTTCCAGGAGAAAGCAATTGAGGCTTGGGAAGGCCATGGTCCAAGTGCAGTAGATGAACTTAAAGAAGCTCATCGACTTCTTGAACAACTAAAGAAGAAAGCTTCTGGTGTATCCGATGGGAATATGATGAAGGCCTTGCCTTTGGCTAATTCTAGTGAACAAGTTGTAGTTTCAGCCATTGAAAGGCAAAGAAATGCAACTAAAATGCTGAATCAATGATGTTCTCCGTAAGTTTATTAATCTGCTCTTTCCCTTTTAGGAATAAAACTATACTTTTGTTAGTTTGATGTATCATTTTCACTGGAACCTCTTCTTATAAAGCTTCACCAAGGATATGAAAGCTACGAGATCAATCAGTCTGCGACTTTCATCTGTCGTAATAGTTGGTTTTCTACATTGAGGTCTCTGTCCTGGTTTGGTTATGAAAATCACATTGATGTGTTTGAATATTCGTTTTAATAGCATGTTTTTGTATCCTTTTTGGTGTTGCTAATATTAGACGAAGAAAGATGAGCTTAAATGAAACGACACAGACAACTAGTATTCATATTGTTCAAGCGAATTTTTTTTCTCACATGGCATGGAAACAAGGAATTGACGATGCTACATTTTCGTTTATTGTCTCTGCAATTTGTGACATAAATATTTGCAACACGCAGAATCTTGCATAAAAAAATATTGTACTGGAGAAAGAGGTTTTGAATTACTTTACTCTTTTTCGTATATTGTGAATCTTGAGGTTTGACTTATTTTGTTAATTAATACTTTATTAGTGCATTCACACAGATTAAAAAAAATCTTTCTAAACAAATTAAGGTCCACTTTTTATCATTTTTACATAGAGTTGTTTAGCTAAATAAGTTAAGAATAATTATATTAGTCAACATAATTAATTGAAATGCGAGCAAATTTGATTCAACACCATAACTAGTTATTCATAGTAAGAGTTTGTTATGATAACCCGAAGAATAGAGTAATAACTGACCGCGTAAATATTTTTTTCATCGTCAATATATGTTAAATTCATTTAATAATAGATTGAAGTGAGTAACGTGGTTGGTTGAGGAAGTTCCTGTAAAGACAGCTTCACATGAGTTTCTGCCTAGAAAAATGTACTATGCTCTTTTAGTTTTGACCAATTCATATACGTGGTAATTATACTACATTATGTAAATATTTACTCTCAATAAATATAAAAATGTTATCTTTTTGTTATATTATTATTAACTCCAGAGAAATATTCATTGATGTTCCCTGGTGTAATGGGTCCCTTGGCATTATTGGACCCTTATCTCATTGGAACACAAAATCATTATCACTCATGAAAAATCATAACTAGTACAAAAATTAAATAAGATATTTTTGCTACCTAGCCATACCGTAGTGACTTTACAATGATTTTAGTTTTCTCAATAATGCTATGTTTCATATATCTTATATTCTATCCTATCCTATTCTTGTACAAAAATAACAAATAAAACATTTTATCATAAGTTAAAAGAAAATAGGAGACTTGGTGAACTTTGAATTGAACTTTGTGGACGTGACGGTCAGTTACAATAGGTAAACTATCAAATATTGATTCTATACCTAAGTCTAAAACCATGTTAATATTTGTGTAAAGTTGCAACAAAGAATGAACAAACAAAAAACAGATTCAAAGATCAAAATTTAAGATTCAAAAGGTAAAACTGATGTCTTGGATCTTCTATGTCCAAATGAAAAGATCGATTTTCGAATCGATCTGCTACTACTTTCACCATTGTTTCTCATCTCACTGATCAGCTGCCTATTATGACGTATCATCTGTTGCACTGATAAGTAAACATGTCGATCTGCTGCTGAATCCATCGAAAACGATCTTCTTATTGGCTCAACTGAAAACAGAGCATCTTTATCTCTTACATTTACACATTCATCTCCCATCATTGAATACTTCCTTGTTTGTTCTTTCTCCGACTTACCAATCCTCTGTTCAAATTTACTCGACGAGTCAGTACTTGTGCTAATAGAGTTACTTCTATTTTGCGCCTCTGTTCCAAGTTCACCACTCAATTCAATCACTACGAAATCTTCCTCACTTCCTAACATTTCACTTCTTCTTCTCAGAAGCGGAATATGAGGATCTTGAGGTGATGAATTTGGCGCGACAATCATATCAATCGGATGTTTAGTTGTTGTACCTGAAATGCTAGTTCTACAAAGAGGGCAACTAGCATTGTTTTGAAGCCAAATATCAATGCAATCTAAATGGAAAGCATGGCTACATTTTGGAAGAAGTCTAAGCATTTCATCTTCTTTAAATTCATTCAAACAAACAACACATCTTCTAAAACTTCTTTCACCAACTCTGTTTTTGCTGTATGGAAAAGTTGGAATTTCTCTTATTACCAATTCATCAAGTCCTCTGCTTTCTCTTGATGGTGTATAGGCCATTAAAGGGTCTTCATATGGGCGTGGACGCGTATTGAAGAAGCGTCTTAAAGGATCAAATTGTTGCCAGTTGATGCAGCATTTTGTTACAAAGATGTAGTAACTGACTAGCACGAATCCTATAGCCATGATTCCTAACATCGCGACGCCAATTATTGGGAAGCCGTTTTCAGAAACTGCACCCATTGGAGTTAAATGAGCTACACTAATGTTGTTGTTCTGCTGGTTTTTGAATGAAACAAGAAACTGGGATACATGAATGGACATATGTTTATCTGATGCTGCTGCATCCATCAATACGATAATGAAATAAAGAATATGATGAGCTTGATTAATTGAAATTGTACGTGTTTATGAATTGAACGAGATTCGAGCTGGAAATGAGATGAGTGATGTTTTTTTTTTTTAAATTATGAATAAGTGAAAACTTGGAAAGTCAAATATGAATAAAGAAATAAGAGCATTGAATGAAGTGTGGAGAGTTTTGAGGAACACATGCAATTAATTATGTGTAATAAGTGTTTGAAAATGCTGAGACATGGAGTGAACAAAAAATGCAAGTTGACTCTATTATTAAACTACTAAAAGAGCAATGGAGTATGAAACAGACTTCACATTTCCACTTGGCCTGTGCTCCATTTCTTTTTTGGCATTTTACTTCCTCCATTTACGTTTACTTGTCCATTATTTTGAAAATAACTTCTTTACTTTTATTTATCACTTTTAACATAGTTAAAATTGCTAAAAAAAAATTCTTAAACATATTTCTCTAGCTCTGTGGAGTCCTTTTCCCTCTGTGTATTCAAGAAAACGATTTATACAAGTGACAAGCCCTGGGTTTAAATTGCTACTCCCGTGACTCAAATTATATGTTGTTCTAAAAAGTTCATATAAAAAATTAATACTCTTTCCGTCCAATAATAGTTGTCCATTATACTATTTTGGGATATTCAAGTATGTCCAATAATAGTTGTTCACTATATTATTTTGGGATGTTCAACAATACTTGTCTACTTTATGAAATCAATGGATAATTTTACACTTGGTTCTTAATTTAGCGTTATCATTAATTGTAGTCGTTTTCCTATTACATTTTTCAAGACATTATATTTATTATATGCAAAGAGTGATATAGTAAAATTATCCTTCTATTTATAGTTTCTTAAGAAATATACAAAGTCAATAGTGGACAACTATTGTTGGACAGATGGAATATTAATTAGCCTCTTATTGGTATCCCAAAATAGTATAATGTACAACTTGTCAAATATAACATAAGCACATTGAAACTTAAATATTCGTTTGCCAAAAACAATGGTATGGAAGTATAAAAAACATTAAAATGTCATATCATTTTCTAGTGTAGATAGGGGAATGGGGTGAGTGATGAGTCATAAAATGTAGAAAATATGGGTGCCTAATCCTATAATCATTCACAAGACATAAAAGTAGTACTTGAAGTATGTTGCACGATTCCTAATTTGAAGTGAAAAAGAGACATGGACCCTAACATCAACATCAACTCCAATCTTACCGACCAAATGGTCGATGCAACTCTAGGCGTGGGTGGCCTCATCAGCACTATGGCTTTCAATCTCCACACTTCAACTAATAAGGGAATCAACTACTACTACTTTCTTTCGCACATCTAATAGCTGAGAGGTGAATTCAAGATTTAATGTGATTATAAGTTGTTATGAATGATTGATGTAAATTATCGTATGATAACTTGTTTGTCAAGGTCCAGATGATTGGATATAGTTTAAATGTGTGAATGCGGACTAAACTTGAAAAAATGAGACATTTCTTTAGTATTATTATTTTTCACTAGGATCATTGTTATAGTCTGAAGTTGTATACATTCATCTAAGTTGGTATCACCTCTTCTTACACTATACAACAAAGTAGTGTGCGGACATTAATTGTTCGAGTATATCAAATAGTTGATTTGTGTATATATATATCAGGTAGTTGTTTTACTATTAGGTTAATATAATTTATTTATTTGTTCTATTAATTAGATTTCTTAATATTTTGAGTCATTCATATGTCATTTTTTTTCAACACGTTGGTTATTCTTATAAATTGATAGGTGAAAATTTATTTTATAATCGCCAGATCAAATACTTTGATTCAAACAAATATTCATAAGTGATATAACATATATAATAGGTAAAATATATTCTAACTAAATCAGTCATGTCTAAATTAATTTTGTTTCCCTTTTTGTTGGTCCTAATTATGAGGGAAAAAAGATTTTTTTTTTGCGGTGGGGGTAGCCTGCGTAAACTTAATAGGTGCCATTGTTATGGTTTGAAGCTTCAAAATTTAAAAATTGAATTTTCCCAAAGAACTCTGTTTCGAGTGGGTATTGCTACAAACGATCGAGTACATAGTGAGAAAATTAAATCTGAAATTTAGAGTGATCTGGTGTAATTTTTTTTTAGATATTCTAGATGGATATGGACAGTATGGTATTGAATTTAAGGAAGAAGACAGTTAATTTTTGTATAATAGTATATAATTTTATATTGTATTGTATATGGGTGAATAAGAACCTCTTGTAGTTTTGTATAATGTTGTATATTGAGTGTATGATATTGTATATCAAGTTTTTAAATATTGTTGTAAAAAATAGGAAAAACTATCTATCTAGACATACTTTACTATCATATATACATATTTTACCTCTAGTTTAAAAATATTACATATAATATTACTTTTTAATAATTATACCATATTTTAAAAAAAGTTAAATTAGATACACAATCCCCTTAAATATGATTTTTAATAATTATCTTAAAAGTATATCTCCTTAATTAATGTGACTTTAACAATTCAAATTACTTCCTCTCTATTCACACCATCAGCCCACTCCCCCACGTTATTCACTGTTTACACACATCTACCATTACCCCCCTTCTTCCTCAACCATTTCAA